GTCTTTGAGGCTCAGGCAAACTGGGCGCAGAAAAAGTGGTAGCAAGACTGTCAAAGGATGCCATTGCTGGGATCCAACAATTGTGTTCTGATGGTTTGGAGCATGAGCTGCGTCCAATACTAGAACCCTTCAAGGTGTACCCGTTATTTTCCACATGAAACCGTTGAACAAAGATCGTTTTCACCTTGACACAGTTTCAGAGAACTTTGTTTTTGCCACAGCGTCCAAGAAACAGGGATGCAGGCCAAATATGTCAAGGCAAAGTGTTTCGGAGGCTCTCAAGGTGATCAGGAAAGTGATGTTTCAAATTACTGGCAACCGCCGGTACAACCCCACAAGTAAATTTCAAGGCAGTAGGGTTACAGTGCACGGAGCTACCCGGCACAAGAGCGCTAGCCTCCTGCTTTCGAACAAACATTCTGATGAGAAAGGGCCTTCCGAACATGTGATTTTAGAAATTCAACAACGCTTCGATGCAAGAGTGTTCTGGAAACATTATTACCACGCTGAAGAAGAACAAGTGGAAGCTGCTTTAGAATATGGCGCTGCGCCAAGTTTGTTTACAAAAGGCCTTCCAGAGGCGCTTCCAACTGAAGCAGCAGTGCCTGACGGGGAAGAACACACACCTCCCAGCTCATCGAAAAAATCAGTGGCTGTAAGCTCCGACAAGAACACTGTCAATGTGTCTCACTGTTTTTTTCCCACCATGAAACAAAAATTCACCGAAGCAAGCGCCGCTTACAGAATCTGAAAACCTGGCCTGAACTCCTCCTGTGCCCTCATTGTTGAGTTCCGCTATGGGCAAGGCTGGCAAAGTGACAAATGTGGAACCCAAAGTTTTGAGCACCAATCTGCTGTCCTCTTGCACTGCTGTGTAGTAATCCAGATTTGTCTGATCCACTATGTTGGTTGACATCTGAAACGCTTTGGCAGCCGGTGCGGCTTTGACTGCCGCAGGCTTCGGGGCTGCTGCAAGGGCACCAGGACCGCTACTTGCAGACTACCTTTGCCTTTTTCCTCTCTTGGGATTCCTTTGCCTTTGTCTGCTTCATCAACTTTTCCATTTTGGCCCTGTACTGCTTCAGAGCTTCCTGTCAAGGAAGTTACAAATGACAGCTGACAAACTAGAAAAAATAGTTTGCATCACACACACTAACCGGCCAAAAAGCAGCCTGGTTTTGTTTGGAAGTTCCTTCCAGGGTAGCTTCGTGTTTCTTCACATCTTCGTCCAGCTGCGCCTCCAAAGTGCCACTGCACATGTGCATGTGGAAAGTGAGCAGGGGGTTAAGGCTCAAAATCAAGTTAACACTGGCGATCTATGTCTAAGCGCCTTGTCTTTGTCCGACAAACGCCAAGTGGACCAATTGGAAGGAACGCCATCAGGCAGGGGAGACTTAGATCGCTTCATGGAAGCCATCCGCGCTGACTACACGAGCACAAAATGCTGCACAAAAACAAAATCCAAGTGGTAACTACACACCCACTGGCATGTCACCTACACAGTTTCTTTACAAAATCAATTCAGGGTTACTGCTTTGTAAACAATTCTTTTTTCCTCACCAAGCATGCTGTCTTTTGTCCAGCCCTGCCTGAATGCAAGTTACAGCAGGTGCAGCCATGCTGAGTTGCGCGTTGTTGTCATTTTCTTGAACAAACATTCTTTTCGAAAACAAAATCTGAAAGAGGCTTTCCGATCTCTTTTTGCTTCTGGAGGTTACTTTCTTTCCATGGATCCAAGGCATTGTTGGGAGCCACTTTGCCAATGGCCACCAATGTGGCTAAAATCACTTTTCCGAGGACATTGAGGGACATACTGTCCCCACAGGCAGCCCTCACCACACTGTCAGACGTTGCCTTCACCATCGGTGCAGCCAGATGTGAAAGAATGCCCTGCAGCCTGACCCCTTCTACAGAATTCAGTCGCCTGAATAGACGTGGGATGTAATATCCAGTCTCTTTTCCCTTCATTCTGGTGCGAGTCAAACAGGGTACCTTGTGGGGTGCTGCTGATTGAAAACCATGACTACTTCCTACATCCAGAACATAAGCATCATTCCAGATGGTGTTTTTGCCATATTTCTCCTCGTAGTTTCGCAAATTCATTTTTTCTTCACCCCTCTTGCTGGTCTCCAGAAAAATTTTCAGCCAGGATTTGGAAAATTTGATCTCCTTGGGCCACTTGAATTTTTCCTTCTTGGCATCTGCTCTGATGGCCACAATGTAGATAGACACGGCACCAGCTCTGAGGTATTCCGTACCCCAAGGAAGCCATTTTCTTTTTGAATAGCACATAATTCATTTTCGTCAAAAATTCACGCAAGAAAGCCACATAATCGGCATGTTTTTTGTGAAGAAGGCCTGCCACGTTCTCCAAAATGCAGGCTTTGGGTTGCTCTTTGATTATCCGTTGCAAACCGTACAAAGGAACTACTCCTCTTGGATCAAGGCCTCCACGTTTTCGACCCAACGCACTGAAGGATGGACAAGGGTAACCAGCAACGTATAAATCTATGTTGCGAGGTTTGGAGGTGCAGCCACCCAAAACCAAACTCCGTTCAGTCATGTCCATCTCCAAAGTTCCAGCTTCGTGCTTCAACTGTGCTACATCTATACAATTTTTGCTTGTCTTCGTCAGTTTCTGACCAGCACACGCTTTCCACTCTTGGCAGCAAACCTAACAAGGCCAGAGCAATGATTTCCGAACCCAGACCTGTGCAATCACTAGCCACTCTGATGGACCCAGTGTCCATTGTTTTTTCACAAGCTCAGCGGCATCAGCCAAAGAGCGCACTTGACCCATCATTTTTTCAAAAGTTTCCTTGGTGATAACTGGTTTCTTTCTTGGCTTGCCTGGTGGACCTTTCTCTTTTTGCACATTGAAGCTTTTGATTTTTCTTCTTGTCAAGGACTTCATCCAGCACGACTCCACCCCATGCCATGGCTTTCTAACTCACCGTACTTTGATTGCAGGTCAATAATATGTGTTGTGTCTCACAATAATACTTACGACTATCAGGAAAGAATCCGCTGGTGTTACTATTAGCTTTTCCACATCTTGCCCGAGACCCCGGCTTGAACCTCACAGGCCAGGTCAAAGGCTGAGCTGCGGCAGCGGTGTGCGTGTAAGGACCCCGGGCAAACCCGGGGTCCTTACACGCACCCTGGCTGGTCTGGCTGTGTGTAAGGACCCCGGGCACGCAGCGTTGAATGCACCCCGGGGTCCTTACACGCACGCGTTGTAGCGGCGCCGGGGTCCTTACACGCACCCTGGCTGGTCTGGCTGTGTGTAAGGACCCCGGGTTCCCCCGGCGTCCTTACACGCAGCCCGCTAACGCAACCCCCGGGGTCCTTACGCGCGATCTGGCTGGTCTGGCTGTGCGTAAGCAACTTTAACGTCGCCCACTCCTAATTAACGTCGCCCATTCCTAATTAACGTCGCCCCAATTAACGTCGCACACTCCTGTTCTACCAGTTAGGAGGCTTGCAGGCCAACCAAAGAAACAGTCATGCTTGAGCACTTTGAGTTGGCATGACAAGCGCAGCGCGCTGACGACTTTTTCCCCAAGTACTGTCTCTCAACCGTCCCCAAGGCCGAAGGTTCCTGGTCATGAAAATGATGGTGCTGACGTCTTTGGACAACACACAATTCATGAAAGCCCCACAACAAGAATGAGGTATAAGCCATCATTCCTCACACAACCTGCTCTAAGATACATTGAGTTGAACCATCATTGTAAAACTAAGCACTCCTTGCGCACTGCTTCTCATCTCGGTGACTAGACAACAACATGTCCAAGAATTCTCTGTCAGTTTTGACAGTTCGTCCCTTTTTTTTGAAAGTGTTCTTCTCTGATTCCAGACACAGCACCATGTGCGCCGATGTCAATGCAGAAGTTTCCCATGAGTTTGTGCCTCTGTTGCAGTGATCCTGTAAAAATTTTTGCACGTTGCTTTTCTTCTCACACAGCTCTGGAGAGAAGTGTATTTTCATCTTTTTCTTGACAGCAGGCTAGCAAAATCCAATGGAAAAAAACAGCCGACTCAGCTTCGAGCAAGCCTTCGTTCATGACCACACCTCCTTTCAGAACAGCATGCCAGAGAGCACGCGGTTGAGGCTCGCTGTTGTTCACCAAGAAGACAGTTGATTTTTCCAGATCTGAGGACACTGAATTGGCACCCCAAGCCACCAGTTTCTGGATCTGATCACTGTTCGGCTTCTCAAGCCAAATGTTTTGCCCATTGACTTTTTGCTCAAAAAAAGTGGTCTTTTCGGTCGCTGGCACTTCTCCATGCAGCAGCCCGGGGTGCTTCAATGGCAATGCGTTGAGCATCATCCTTGGCCATTTTTTTTTGTCTTTGGGTCACCGTGTGAGGCTTCCCTTTTTCATCTTCTAAAAGGTGTCCATCACACTGTGCCTCAATTCGCTTTTTGTCTTCCACTTGCTTCAAACGTTTGGATGCTTTTGCCAGGGACGGTTCCTCCTCCACAGTGTCAGAATCCAATCTCTTATTTTCCAACATGGAGTTGCCACAGCCCTTTGTAACTGTTCTTTCGGTTTTCTGTGCCACTCCGCTTCTGAAGTACGGCCATCAGAGCCAACAGTTCCGCTTACGTCTTGCCCAGGCTGAACCTTTCCACTTGCATGACGTGTAGTTCCTTTGTCAAAGCGGCTCTGGTTCTTTCTTGCAAGTCCAAGTGCGACCTTCGCTATATAATTTTTTGGCATTTTCAATCAGAATTTCAACACTTCTCTCCGCTGTGTTGGGATCTGTCATTGACACAACCGCGCGGCGATAGCAATCATTCTTGCCATTGCCTCTCTCCAGATGGGTTCGGTCCACCTGGCTAAAAGCCTGCTCGACCCCACTTGAACTTGTGGTCCAAGAAAGATATGCTGCAAGCACCTTAGGAGTAATCAATGTTCATGTGGACCTTCCTATGGAACTGTTTGAAAAACAAAACAAAATTACACGCATACAAGCCACAGGTTCCAAAGTTGTCATGTCTTTCCTGCTGCTGCATTTGCGCCAGGCCCATTGCCAAGACTCTCTGTTGAAACCCCAGCGGACTTCATGTGAGCACTGGCGACTCTATGTAGGTATTCATATTCAGCAATCAACTTGTCTCTGGAAACTTGGAAAATGAGTGAAAGCCTTTCCAAGCTGTCGCATGTTTTAGGATAATGTTTTTTTCCTGGAATCATGTCTTGCAGCATGGATGACGTGGGGCAGCCAACATCTTCCTTCAAGTTAAAAACACTAAACACCATCATGCCATCAAAACTTGGGAACTCTGATCTCACAGCGTCTTCACGTACTTTGATCACTTTCCGCATGTGCTGCAAGGCAGCCCTCTTGGCACTTTCCAAATTGCTCCCTCCGAGCCGCTTAGCCACACCATTGTAGAAGAAAAGAAGTTTCCCACTGTGCAGCACTTCAGCACAATGCTTCGTGTAGTCATGCAAGTTCCAGCATTGCTCGTCAGCAAACAAAACCTCCACAGAAAAATGGCTGAAAAAATAAAATGCTCAATATTAACAAAATAATGGACAACGATGCAACAACATGACAAGCCTGCAAGCTCTGCATAAAAACAGCCGCTTCGGAATTGATCTCTGCTATGTCCATCTCTTCAGAGTCGAAGAATCGTGTTAAATCCACCGCGGCAGCTCCGATGTCCGCACGCATGGCCAAAGTTAGGACACTGGTGGAGGTGCAGCCATCCATCCAGTCTGTTGCCCACTGTGCTGCCTCAGTTCCTTTCATGGCAGCGATTTTGTTTAGTGTCTCTGCTACTGCGTCCAGGTGAAGGATGAAGCGTCCCAAAGGCTTGCTCAAAGAGCAAAAGCGATGCTTAGCTGCTGCCAATGTTTGGCCTCTCGAAAATTCGCTGCCGGAAACCGAGTCCGCAAACCAAGCAGAATACGTGGTACTGTTCCAAATCTTCTGGCACACGGAATTCTTCCCCAGCACGGTCTCCTCCATCAAAGTTTTGATGGCAGTCTCCGCTTTCCATGGGTGTCGAAGTAACCTCTGGCAGGCGTGGGCCCTATCTCTCCCAATCATCTTTGTCCTGGGAAACAAAGTTTCCTCTGCTCCACAGCGGCCTCTGCCCAATTCCTGAGCTAGTATCTCTGCTGCAGCACAATCGGTGGCAGTGATTTCAACTCGTTCCTGCAAATGCTGCAGTAACTTTGACTCTAATTTCCGGGTACAGCCACGGAAATTTCGAGGAGCCTCATGTCTTGGAGTGGCAAATATGTTGAAAGCTTTTTCGGTTGCGTCCACAGTGTCTTTAGCTGTAGACCCTTGTCTAAGCTCGACCAAACCAAGCACCCCACACACAACCGTCATGTCCTTCAAAGTGTCCCTGAACCTGATCAACATCTTGCCATGCCTTTCGTCCCTGATCAACACCACCATGGAAGCACATTTCAAACAGGCGCGGTAATGATCCAACATCGCTTCGCTCAAACACCATCTCATCAAAGTCTTTTTATCTGAACTTCCAGACCCGTCTCTGCCACTGGCACCTTTCCGTAATGAGTTCAATCAATCTTGGAACTCTTGCTTCCCGGGCGCACGGCTAGCCAGGGCACAGCCACTGGACGACTCTGATTCTTCCCAGTCCAACATTGCTTGCACATGAGTCGAAGTGTGACCATGCCTGTGTAAATTGTTTGAATTATGGCGCGGTATGTTTGCCACAGGCACGTTGAAAAGCGCAAATTTATGGCGGACACTGGTTTCTTTTGTTGTTGGGATTGAGCCACCAGCAACTTGTTTTTGTAAAAACTTCTGACATACAACGCATCCGAGTTTCAAATTTCCTTTCTGCACGCCTCTGCCTGTGAAGGCTGCAGTGAGCCAGGTCGTCTTCCCATCTGGCAACAAACATTGTTTTCGTCTCTTGGGCCCTCTTTTGCTCCACTCGCACTTCGTGCATTTTTTTGCAGTGCATTTTTTGGAGTCCCGTTCGAAAAGAGCAGGCGGCACAAAGGTCAGCTCTCCAGAAAATGCAAAAACATGTGGTAATTTCACAGTTTTGCTTCCAAAACTACGCACAAGATGCAGAAACATCATAGGTTTGATTTCCAAACTATGAAAAACTGGTGGTAATATCACAGTTTTGGCTCGAAAACTATGCAAAACATGTGGTCTTATCACAGTTTTAGGTTTCAGACTGTGCAAAACGTGTGGTAATATCAATTTGTGGCTTCACAAGTATGCAAGAAATGAAGACATATCACAGTTTTGGCTTCAAACGGAGTGGAAAATGTAAAAAATGTAGAGATACCACAGCTTTGGCTTTGAAACTCTGTAAAAAGCGTGGTAATACCACAGTTTTGGCTTCGAAATTGTGCAAACGGTGTGGTATTTCCACAGTTTTGGCTTCAAAATTGTTAAATTAAAACTATGCAAAACGTGTGGTAATATCACAGTATTCCTTGTAAAAAAGCACAGACAGATAGTGTGCTTCATTTCTGTGTCACAGCAAGACATGGGATGCCAAGCCAATGATTTTACATAGCTTCAAAACTGTGATTGTGAGGGTGCAGCCACTCACAAAAAATCTTCTAAGAAGTTATACATGTCTGATCATGTGCACACATGGGGAAAGCACTCGTCCCTAAATTTATTGACCGCCCTGCCCCCCTCCCAAACATACAATTTTAGACAACATAGTCGGAAACAAAATGCATTTTTGTTCTTTGTTTTTTGTTTTTTCCTCTTTCCCTTCGATTTTGCAGCCTAAAACACACTCCTTCACTCCTAATTAACATCGGCAAGAAAATCAACTGAACATGCAGACCTGACTGAACATGCAAAAACAAAACAACTGTGTTCTACATCAATGCAGTGCTTCACATCAAATCTGTGCTTCGCGTACGCCAGTGCTTCGCGAACATCGAAAAAAAACTGTGCTTCACATGACTGCCGTGTTCCACATCACTGTCGTTTGGTTTCAAGTTTGTTTGAAATAAGACATGCAAAAACATCTTTGGTTCAAACATGCCAAAAAATGAAATAAGGTCTCAGTGTTCACGTCCACCTTTTAAACTGGCGTCGTCCGGAGACGTGCAAAACAGAAAACTCAAAAACACATCAGTTCCACCTGCCACGCACATTTCCTTGGGGAAATCATGCAACATGCAGGTCAAAAACACAAACATTTGTTTGGTTTTGGTTGTTCCATGCGACATGCAAAAACGCAAACTTTTTTTTCCTCTGTTGCGGCCGATTTCGCTCTGAGGCTCGGTCCTAACAATGAGAGAAGCGGGTAAATAAAATGCAAACATTATGAAACACCTTGGTTCCACAATTCAAGGCAAATCCAAACACACACAAACAAAAACCAGGCAAAACAGCGACGACTCGCAAATCTCCCGGCCAGATTTGCGTTTCGCCAGCAGGAAACACAGCAAAACAACACAAAAAGGGGCCGGAGCCACAACCAAAACACCCACACCAGAAACACAGGATTGCCTTGGACACGGAGGGTAGACCCAACGTGTCATCGAAAAGTGCATTAAGAAACAAATTAGTAGGTCTATGGCCCAAAAAGGGTGAGAAGCTGTACAACTGTCAGAATCAGCAACAAACTTGCGAAGTGCTATGTAATTCTTTAACCGGATGATACTGAACTCCGGGCGACATGCACAACCCGACCCGCAAAGTTGCCGCGTTAGGAGTCTAGGGGAGCGAAGGGGGGAGCCAAAAAACAAACAACGCATCAAGAGACCAAAACAAAACTGAGCAGTGCGCAAACACAGAAAAAGCATCTCGCCAGCAATGTCGCAGCGGAATCAGCACCTCACCCACGCCAAAAACAAACAACGCATCAAGAGACCAAAACAAAACTGAGCAGTGCGCAAACACAGAAAAAGCATCCCGCCAGCAATGTCGCAGCGGAATCAGCACCTCACCCACGCCATGTTGCGAAAGCCTGCGACAACAACACCCAAACAATTCCAAACAACATGGTGCTTTGGCAAAGGCTGGCGACATGCAGGCGGGGCTAGAGACCGGCAATCAGCAACCGTGTTCCCCGGAATTCTGCCATCCCGTTCACTTGCAAAAAGTATATTGCTTTTTGGTAAAGCTGCGCCATTTTTCGCAAAAAGGTCACTGCAGCAATCTCATTTTCGGGGCCGTAAACACATTGGCTTTTTGGACTCCAAGAAGTGGTCCTCCCAAGTATCATCCGACTACTGCCCCACTGTTTGGATGAGTGGATGCTTTGTCTTTGCTGTTTCAGATGAGCCTGGTTTTTCACTTTATAGCTCCCTACTGCATGCACTGGATGATAGCGATGTTCCTCACGAAGTGTCTGAACAGTATGTGCTATGCTACTTTCGTTTTTCGGCCCCTCAACCTACAGAATTTGAAGCATGGAATCCAATGTCATAGCAGGACGGGCACTGCTGGGATGTCTACAACTCCCGACTGGCCAAAGTAGGCACGCTATTTTTTTAGTGCTTGACAAGACGATGCAAGGCTCTAACAAAAGTGCTGCCCAGAGCCTATCGGCGAATTGCACCGAGGTCTTTTGAAGTAGTCCTCCTTCCACAATTTGTAGCCTGTACATTCTCTGGTCGGCTAATAGAGCAGTACTGGGGAGGACCGCCTTTGGGAGTCCAAATTCTATATACCTTTCCAACCCCAAAAATGGGCATCAAACAAATCAGTTCAGTGACATCATCTTGCGCATCTTGCGGTTTCTTGCGGAGGCGTCTGGAGTCACAAAGTTGGAACTCTTTCAACCCTTTCCCCATTGTAAATAGGGTTTCAGCAGGTGTACCGACTCCACCCGACTCCGGCAAGACTCTGCAGCTACAGACATCAAAACTGGCACAAAACTGTGGTAAAATCGAAGTTTTGCATCTCCAGCCTCTTACGGAATCTGCTGGAGTCATGAAATCGAAACTCTTCCCCCAATATAGCTGTACACTAACGGTAGCCACCTTAGAGTCCTCTCAGACGTGCTTTTTGTATCTTCCAGAAAGTTGATCAACTTCGGGAGTTCTTGTAGTTGTCAAAAAAGCTTTGGCGTACATTCCGCAGAAGGCTACAGGAATCCAAGGACAAGTCTTAGCTGTGCCGTCAGACCCACGTGGTTCAGTGAGTTGCTTGCTGCAATGCCGTCCCAGTAGGGATAGTGCGGACCCAGACAAATCCTCCGGCAGGGCCAAGCTGCCGGCACAAATGTGAGCGACCTCATAGACAAGCCGTCTTAGTGAAGCGTCTTGCCCAAATTGTCTGCTTCACACAGCTGCCAGTGCACTGAGGCAGGGTAGTGGGGTTCAAATGACAAGCAGCGGTGCACTTTCTCTGAGGAGTCTAAGGACATGGAATCCAGCATGCGCTTCATACTGATAGGCAGCAGTGAGCTGCACCTTTGATGTGGTGCAGCTGGCCCAACAAATATACAGTGACGGCTTGGCTAAGGAAACGCACACGCCATTGCCTCGCTCGCACAGGTGGGCCCAGTGGATCTTTTGATTGGAAGAGATTTGGAAAGAAGACGCTGATGTGAATGATCGGCTCCTGGTCATACATTGCAGTGGACTGGAGGAGGGCTCCTCAGCCCAGATCATGACTATGCCTATTCTTTCAAAACCACGCTCAAATTGAAGGTGTATGGGCCATCTCTGGCGATGATAGATAACCGGAAGCTGAGAGTCTCACAGCTCGGGCTCACGAAAACTACCCATGAATATGTCATCCACCAACTCCTTGCCACTGCCTGCGGCTGGGGTGTGTGGAAGAATTTTCTGCCAACACAATTCGTTCACCCAAAGCTATTACTCGTGCAGTACGGCTCCACAATTCGACCAGCACATGCGAACCGCCACCCTACAGAAACGATCTCGACAACTCCTGTTGTCCAAAAAACATGGGCTGCGAAGTGACCGACATTATTATATGCCGGCTAACCTTGCAGATGCAATGATCCGGCTGTTGGACGGTTCGTCCAATGAAGGCCTGGCTACCCTCAGTCAAATACTCCGTCGAGGCCAGCACACGTTAGGTCAGCTATGGACAAGCCAACTCTCGCCACAAGATACGGAAGACCTCAGAGCAGCCAACGCCGTTCTCCCAGGCCTGAGAACCCAATTTGAAGCCGCCCAGCCACATGTGCAAAGACACTCCTCCACTTTCGTGGATGCAGAACTGCTGGAAGGCACGACGGTCAACTCAACTTCCCACGATCCCTGGTACGCCTTGCCTAGACCTTGCAGCATGCCGCGACCCTCCTACCTATGGCTGGTGACATCCAAGCAGTCTTAAACTCTCAGACCGCCGGAGTGAGCGACATCCATGCCTCAAGGTTGATGCTCCCTTCCAGTTCAAGAGTCAGTCCTGTGACATACCACTCAGTAGTGGCAGTTCGGTACCCCGACCTCTGCAGATTCATCAACGAAATGTGGGAGCTGGGAAGTTTCGCCTCCGGAGGACTT